GCCCCCAGCTCCTAATTCCGTTTGAAAACAGTTCCCTCCCTGGCGCGACAGACTGGCTTGCTTTTGGGGCTTGCAGGACTCCCTGCTCCATGGAAGACCATCTCCCCTGGTTTGAGCGTCTTAGGAAGTGGAAGACTGACTGACTCCTCGCATCTGCTCTCTCGAGCTCAAAAGCAAACTTAGCCCCTCCCTGTACCGTCAGCCTCCCACCAGCGAGCATGATGTCTCCCTGACTGGCACACTCAAGCCAGCCGAGGAGGAGCAGGGAGACACAGCCCCTTGGCCAATTCCATCCCTGGAACTCTGACATCCCCCCTACCTGGCTCCAGAGGCCCTGGTACTGCCTCCCTCGGGCACCTAAAAATGGCACAGGGGTAGGGGGGAGCTGTCGCTGTCCCACAGCCCTGATGTTCCGTCAACCCTGCGCCCTAGCCTCTGTCCTAGCTGTACCTGCACTAGGGCAGCCTGTGAAGCCACCAAGGATGAAGCATCCTTTTCCTCCCTTCAGCTCTAAATTGATTTTCATGCCAAGTCACTCATATTTGCTTGCCTGGCTGCAAAGGTAACTGAAATGTGCACAAAATGCCACGAGCCCGGCTTTGTGTGCGAGCCGACGTCCCTGCGGCCCTGCCCTGGTGTGCCTACTGGAGTCTGCAACTGCCTGCGTGATTTCCCTGGGTTTATTAGCTCTGCCTCCCACCCCCACCAGTTCACCAGGCATACTCGGTGTGGCCTGTCTCTGATCGGGAGCAGTTGCTCCAATTGAGGGTAATGTCTGTGCTCGGGTCTCCGGTAACTCATTCCATCAGTGCCTGCCTGTGTGTGCTCAGGTGGCAGGCTCAGGAGCTGCCGACTGCCCAGGGCAGGCTTCTCACCACCACCCTCCTGCCTCAGATCGCCGACAGTAGGGTCCGAGGTATACTTCTCGGCTCTAGGATCCATGCACAGCACATGCAGGCACACACTCATTCACTAATAAAATGCTCAGTGTGCCCGTACCCGCATCTCCTCCGGTGTCCGTAAGGAGAGTCCAGTTAAGACGGCCTGCTGGGAGCTCCCAAGAGAAGCAGGGACCATAAAAGCACGGTGAGATAGCTCTGGGCAAAGGCACTTGCCACCAAGTCTGATGACCTGAGTTCAGTCCCCCAGAACCCATAGCTGTCCTCAGATATCCACACCCGCATACGCACATGATAAATCAATAAACAAGCAAAGAAATAAACAATGTAAGATCCCAGGTACTTAGGTCAGTGGGCTTCGCATGAGTGTGGGCCGCTCACTTTGCAGACAGTCCGAGGCTAGGGAGGGAACTTCCCACAGCCAAGGGCTGCCCAATTCTAGCTCCAAAAACTGTTAATTTTCTGAGCTGCAGGGAGGAGGGGCAAAGGATATGTAAATTTCCACTGTGACAGGGACAAAGCAGACCATCGAAGAGGGGACTCGTCACTCTGCCACCCTGCGTGGGGGATCCACTGGGACCAGGAGTGAACAGCCAAGTCCCTCCTCAAGCCTACGTCCCCAAAGAGGGACACAGAAGCACAGTCTTCAGGATGAGTGTGGCCGAAGACAACTGGGAACTCTGGATTCTTTCCTTTGATGGCTTTTCTTGTATGCCAACCCTGGAATAGTCTCTTGCAATCAATTAATGAGAAAGCAGAGGTTCCTGGCCCCTCTCCCACGCTGCCTCTGCCCGTACTAAATACACAGGGCCCAAGTCTTAATGGAGCCTGGCCAGATCCTCATAGAGAGGAGACTGATTTCCGCAAGCTGGGCGGAGTGGCCCAATAAACACACCAGTCAGGAGTACGTGTGTGCCCTGGGCCCCAGTAGGCCTGCTTTTGGGAAGGGGCCTGAGATGGCGGAGCAGGCAGGGCGACGCCCCTGCGAGGCCGGCTCTTTCCCGGCCCTCATCTGCTCCCTCTATATGCTAACCGCACAGCTAGGAATCCCCACATCTGCTCCTAGCTGCTAGCTTTGGCTCCCTCATTCCATTCCTTCACTCACTCTACCGGGCTTTGCGATCCTTGGCTTTGGTCCTCAGTTTGCTCTTCCAGAAATGGGTATAACGAGGGCAACCTCTGAGGTTGGGTGTTAAAGACAGAAATACACAAGTTGAGCTGTCTTCTCAAGTGAAATAATTTTCTGGCTGGTGTCAGTGAGGGGCTCCATATTACCATGGAAAGAATGACTTTGCCACACAGGGGAGGCCTAAACAGCCAGGAGGAGCTGGAATTTTAGGATCAGGTATATATATACACAGTCAAGCCCAGCCCAGGCCTCCTGTAACCTGGGCATGGGAGCTTCTGCCTAGACCAACCGACGGAGCTAGACCTCTGCAGCACTCTTAGGCTTACTCTGCTGGGCTCACATCTTGATTCTAGTCTGTCACAATCTGAGCAATCTTTGGTTTTCCACATCCCAAGAGCAGCTGGCTTGGCTTCGTAAAACCATGATAGGTGTTGGTAAGCTTTTTGATGCTGCTGCTAGGCTAAACCATATTCATAGCGGCCTCTAGTGGCAGACTCCCAAAATAGCAAGCTAAATGCAAACTTGGCAGCTGGAGGAAATCTTCTCAAATTGACCTACATTCAGACTTGAAGCTCAAAAGGCCTAGATCAAATGTTAGCCTATGAACGAGGAGACCAAATTCCGAAAGGCATGTGGTTCCCCAAGGTGACACAAAGATTTCGCACTCCCGGATCCACACACTTAGAGACAGGGTCTTTAATACAATGATTGTGATTTTAATGTGAGTGTGCTTACTGTGTACACAGTGTGAGCAGGAGGGTGTGGAGGCCAGCAGAGGGTGGTGGATGCCCAGGGATGGGAGCTACAGGCAGCTGCGAATTGCCATATGGGTGTTGAGAGCAGAATCCAGGTCCTCTGCTGCAGAAGCAAGCACTCTTAACCCCTGAGCCTCCCCTCCCACCCAGAACAGGAGTCTAATTATTCCCCCTGGAGACAGGCATCTCACTCACTACGTAGGCCAGGCTAGTCTCAGACCTGCCACTAGGGATTCTGAATCACTAGTTTGGAAAAACAAGCAGGAACCTAATTTCTCCACAAGACCAAAGCAGCCTTACGTCCCTGTCCCTGGCTTTCCCTCTCCCGCTGCACTTTGTCCAGGGTCGCTGGGATGTCCTCTGTCCTGGCACTTACCTAACTCAGACATCCATTCTATGGAATGTGGCTCTGAGGGCAGAAAATGCTTCTTGGCAGGAAGCGCCCAGCCTGAACAGATGTGCTGGCCACGCTTCCTCCTCCACAGCCGCAGCGTGGTGCCAGAGGGGCCACGGAGAGACTCAGATTGGCTCGAGGATCTGGGGGTAGGAGCCATTTGCCATTTGTGGGAAAAGCTATTTTGACATATTCTGGAGCCACAATCCAAAAATAAACGAAGCTGAGGACTTCCAGAGGGCTGAGTGGAAAAGGCTTTGCTGTCGCGCCAGTCAAAGCCCAGGGCTGTGACTCTGGGTGTAGCTATTTTTGACAGCAAGCCTCCATCTTTTCCTGATGGAGAACATTTGATTCACTCAGCAATAACCTCAAAGCGTCACACAGGTGCTGGGTAGGCAGCATGGAATAGGAAGAAGACCGGGCCTTGCTCTGAGGTCGGAGCAGGGAGGAGAGAGCTGTGAGTGCAGGCTCCTGGCAGACCGGCAGAGAAGCTGGGGGCGGGAGAGGTGGGGTGCAGTGGAATGAGCAGATGCACACGCACACTCAACGCACATAGCCTGAGGTGTGTGGTGGCTTTAGTGTCTATTACCAAAAGCTGGCTTTAACCAGTGTTCCCAGTACAGATCCTGCTCTGCACACCTGTTCTGCGTGAGCAGAAGTGTGATTCCGTTGTTGAGGAGCCACAAGTTCAAGGCTGGCCTCTGTCCCTATTTTTGGAAAGGAGGATGGAGGATCAAGGTCATTCCCAGCTACACGGAGTGATACTTGTGAACCTGTCACAGTCAACAAGGTCCATAAGTAAAGACGTGTTTCCAGGTCCCCTCACAGCTGTACTAGGACCCCAGGGCTTCCTCCCTTCACTGCCACTTGGCCCACTGTGCCACCTCAGTCACTGTGTCAGGAAGCAAAGCCACACAGTATTATGCCTCAGGGCAGACTGTGGCCCTAAGCACACCCACCCTGTGCTAGCTAATCAACTCGACACACCAGGGGAAGAGGAAACTTAACTGAGGAACCGCCTTCACCCGGCCTGTGGGGCATTTTCCTGATTGTTGATTGATAGGGGAGGGCACAGCCCCCTATGGGCAGCGCCATCCCTGGGCAGGCGGGCCTGAGCTATTTAATAAAGGAAGCTGAGCCCGGTAGTCGTGGTGGTGCACGCCTTTAATCCCAGCACTCAGGAGGCAGAGGCAGGAGGATCTCTGTTGAGTTTGAGGCTAGCCTGATCTACAGAGCTAGTTCCAGAACAGCCAGGACTGTTACACAGAGAAACAACTCAAAAAACCAAACACAGGGGGGGGGGTTAGGATGGCTGAGAAAGCCAGTAAGCAGTGTCTCTCCCTCCGTGGCCACCACTTGAGTCTCCTGGTCCTGTCTTCCCTGGATGATGGGCTGTGACCTGGGACTAGATGAAATAACTCCTTCCCTCCCTGAGGCTGCTTCTGGCCAGTACTCGTCACAGCAGTAGAACCGGGTCACCTTTAGCTCACCCCTCCCTCAGAACACTAGGTGACATCCCTTGAGGCTTTCTTTGGTTCTGCCTCTTTCCAGTAGAAGCTGCTCCTGCATGGGGGAAGCCGATGGAGACACACAAACCTGGCAGTGTGAATCCTGAAGACAGGAACGCTACAGCACTCCTCAGCACCACCAAGATTAAAATGGCCAAGAGCATGACTTTAGTCCTAGAACAAGGGGCTAGAATTCTCCAAGTTCAAGGTCAGCCTGGTCTATATAGTAAGTTAAGGCCAGCTACATGGTGACACTCTGTCTCAAAAAAGGGAGGGGGTTGACAATCTAGAAGAATACCGAGACCACAGCACTGATTTCAGCCACCAATGGTACTTTATTCTGGAAACGTCTATGTATTACAAAGTATTAACATCCTTCCTGTCACCCCCATGGCCCCTGCAAATCCAGAAAGACAAAAGACAAAGATGTCATGTATAAACACCTCTTACCTACTTTCTCTAAAGCCCTAAAAATGTCACTGTGTGTAAGCAAGGTTCTTGAAGGACTGGCCTTGTGTTCAGTGACTGCCAGTCCTTCCCAGGGGGCAAATGGCCAACGCTTCTGCTTCCATCTCAAAGATCCGTTTCTCCATCATTATACATTATCATTCCCCACTTGACATCTTCTTAGCAATTTAATTGTTGGGTGCGTTTTTCATTTGGCAAAAATTCAAACTGGCTTTGCGTGGGATGTTTAGTGTCAGAAGCGGCAGTGTTGACGCTCAGGCTCCGAGGGAGAAGAGAGAGCTGTGCATATTCCTGGAAGAGCACACGCCGGAGGCTGGAAGGGGCTGTACAGTCAGCGCCACAACACCGCCTGCTTTCCAAGTCTGTGACTGCTGACCAGAATACAAACGCCCCAAAGACGAGCCCTCTGCTTCACTTGTCCAGAGGGTGTCAGAGTCGATATGCATGACCCCAACACATGGCACTCTATGTCATCCAGAAGATGGCTCACTAGGAGCATCTTAGAAGACCAGGGTGTGCCCGAGACAGCATCTCCTCTACCCAGAAGGGTACGCCTTAAGGATCTTCACGTCATCCACAGGACGGTCCTGGGAGTTTGTTTCCACCATGCCTACTCGATTCACCATTCCTATACCCTGGCACACTCGGCCAAAAATGGTATGTTTGCCATCCAGCCACTGAGTGGGGGCGAGGGTCACGAAGAACTGGCTGCCATTGGTGTCTGGCCCTGCATTGGCCATCGCAAGAATCCCAGCCCCTGGGGGAGATGAGGAGAGAGAAGAATGTGAACAAGGACCCTCAGTCCACAGGGTGGCAACACTGTCAGCAGATACAGAGGACTGCAGGCCCATCTCCATCACCAATTCGGGACCCACAGCCTCTTCCTGGAACAGGGCGGACACTTCCTGCACCACCCAATGCCTCTGCCTCCGTCTCCAGCTCCACCTGTGCTGCTCCTCACTAACCCTGGCCATGTCACTCGTTCCTCCCAAGAGCTCAGCAAGGCTTGAAGACTTCAGCTGGCCTTACTTTAGCATATTTAACAGTGGCAGAGTCCAGAACACAGGCCAGGGGTCAGAACTGCCAAGAACTCTCAAGAGGCGCTGTTTTCTTTCATCTGCCAGGGCATTCTGTGGCGCCATGGCTGGGCAGCTGTCTGGCACCATGCCATGGTGTCAGACACACACCTTGAACCACAGCCAAAAAAAGCAAGCTTCTAATATGCATTTCCTCTCCTGCCCATCCAGCCAGATTACATACTTACCAGTGAACTTCAGGTCTGGATGAAGTTCGTCTTCAAACTGTTTCCCATAGATGGATGCGCCACCGCGGCCTGTCCAATCAGAAGACAAGTAGTGAGTCGGCCAGTCCCACAGTCTACCGCACAAAAAAAGCCTGAGGTCAAAGGACTTTTCAGAGTACAGAGAGGAATGTTATGGACAGCGAGCACCCCAGCCCAGCCTCTAGTAGACACATTATAGTGGTCCAGTCACTGGCTTCATTCAGGTAAGACAGTAACATATGCTCGTTAAATTGATGTTCATGTCAGCATGCAGGAAGCACAGAAGAGCATCCAAAGGGGCAGTGGCACCAGTGTAGCCAACTACTCACGCCCCAACAGGGAGCATGTTGCTGAGTACTCCAGCAAGAGTGCCCAGGCCCTGAGCCCAGTGCCCACTGCAGACACTGTTAACCAACACACCTTCCCTGCTGGGCTTAGCTTCTGCCCACAAATCCTACCAACCCACCACTCCGGGCACCTGCTGTAGAAGGAGATGGAAAGGGACAGCTATTGGCTCAGGGAGGGACGGGGATGGCAGTGCTGTGCTGAGTGGAACAGCATCACCCAGGAGGAGTGCACAGAGAGGACAGGTGGTGGGGTAAAGGAAAACAAAGATGACCAGCTAACGTCACCATCACCAAGTCCAGGACATCAGCGCTGGTGCTCGGCACCTAAGCTCGGGCAGGGTCCTCTCTCAGAGCAAAAGGGCACAACTGAAGGTGGACATGGAAGCCTGCACCTGGAATTCCTGCAGACAGAGGCAGGAGGTTGGTGAGCTTAAGACTAACCTGGCTACAGTGCCTCAAAGAAAAGAAAGGAAATACGGTGTTCACATAGGAACACTAACAGGAGGCCGGCTTTCACCAATGTTAACTGACTACACGCCAGCCACGGCCTGGCTCAGCACTGCTTTGTCCATGCTGAGCAGGCACAACCATGCAGCAGCGTAGAGAGAGCTCTGGCTCTGAGTCACCTCAGCAGGTACCAGGCAGAAAGCAGGGTCCGCCCTCCCCAGACAGACTGCTACAGAGGAGCATGCCACGGCAGCTGACACAACGGTACCATGGGTCTGCTTGCTGGATTTTAGTTTGTTCAGTTGTGAGACAGGGTCTCACAGTGTAGCCCTGGCTGGTCTGGAACTGCTCTGTAGCCCAGGCTGGCCTCAAAACTCACAGAGATCCACCTGCCCCTGCCTCCCAAGTGCTGGGATCAGAACTGACTGCCAGTTTTGTTTGTTTTTTAAGTCTCTTGCTTTCCTCCTCTAGGCTGTCAGAAGCCTTGTATGTAAGAAAACCATGTTCTCATGCCAAGAGGAATGGGTAAAACCCAACAGGTCAGGAGAATCCTCCCACCTAGGCCAGATTAGCTCCACTTCTGGAAAATGAGGGATCGAAACCACTATGCACAGTCTCATCCAGCAAGTGGTGGCCACACTCCCACCAGCACTTTAGCCCCTGAATGCTCCCTCCCTCACTTCCTCTGCACCTGCCAAGTGGAGCCCTGTACTCCAAAGCCCAGGCCTTAGCTAGGGTTTCTACCGCTGCGATGAAACACCATGACTAAAAGCAACGCAGGACAGAGCTTATTTTGTTTACACTTCCATGGCACAGCTCCTCACTGAAGGCAGTCAGAGCAGGAACTCAAACAGGGAAGAAGCCTAAAGGCAGGAGCCGATACATAGGCCATGGAAGATGGCTGCACACTGGCTTGCTCGGGCTGCTTTCTTATAAGCCCACCAGCTCGGGGATGGCATCACCCACAATGGGCTGGGCCTTACTGCACCAATCTCTAGTTAAGAAAATGCCTTACAGGCTTACCCACAGCCTGATCTTATAAAGGCATTTTCTCAATGGGAGTTCCTCCCTCTCCAAAGCCTCTGGCTTGTGCCAAGTTGACATACAACTAGCCAGCACAAGAACCAGAAAGCCACCGCAAACACTAAGATAAAGGCCAGTCAAGAGTCAGCGACACGGCAAAGACTTTAAATAACCAAGGAGTCCTGAGGGCAGCCCTCAGAGGCCCTTTCAGTCACCAGGCATCTTGGGAATGACTAGCTGGGTTTCCAGAACACCATTACTCAGAGCTTGCTCTCCTTTCATAGCCCAGTTCAACTCAGAGGGTTTGCAGGACACCCTGGAGCAGACGCGCCTGTGGGCATGAGGAATAGGGGAGTGGCAGCCAGGCAGGGAAGGTGGGGTGTCCTCAGCAGGCGAATCCCTGCCTGTGCAGATGCTCATCAGCCGAGCCAGGGCCCTGCACAGGCTCCACAGGCCGGGGTCGGTCTAGAACAGACAGCCACTGATGAGCGATGCACTTCTGGCCTCTGTGAAACACGTATCCAACATATAGATGTTAAACACACGAAAGACAAAAATAACACGACAAACTTCGAGGGGTTCACCTGACCCCCTTCACCAGCCCCGCATCCCCAGTCCTCTCCCAAGCGCCAGCAGCTCCTTGGAGAACACCATGACCTCACCAGCAAGCTCTGCTCTACCAGGGGCTTGTCAAGGAAGGTCATTTCTTTAGCCACTGCAGACGGATATATTCCTAAACCAAGCCTGCACGTATAGACAGACATGCAGAGGAAACACCCATACTCAAAATCAAATAAATCTAAATGAAGGGTGTGTGTGCCCAGTGCACCATCTCGAGTGCTCGCTGGCCTCGCCTCAAGGCCCCACCTCACTGTCCGATATTTCAGTCTAAGACACTTGGGTTTGGGGGAGAGCAGCTGTGAATCCCTGTCTTGCACATGCCGGGCACGTGTTCTAAACCGGGCTATGCTGTGGCCCCTCATGCTGCTTCCATGTTTCTCTAAAGTTGTCCTAACTTCAGGCTCACAGTGGCTTCTGCCCTCCATGTCTGGCCACTCTGCCAGTTAAAGCTTGCAAATGTCTTCTGGATGACATTTTTATTACACTTATTTGTTATGTGTTTGTGAGTGTGTGCACATGCCCACCATGGGGCCCATGTGGATATCAGAGAAATATGTTTTCCCTTCTACCACGCAGGTCCCAGGGATCAAACTCAGATCACCAGGCTTGGTGGCAAGCGCCTTCACCTATGGAGCCACCTTGCCACGTCTCACTTGTGTAAGGGATTCTGTGAGGCATGGAGATGTTCACAGGTGATCTGAGCTGGGCAGTGGTGGTGTACACCTATGATCCCAGCACTGCAGGCAGAGGAGGATGGAGCTCTGTGAATGAGACCAGCTCTCATTCTACATGTCTGGTCTACAGAGTGAGTTCCCAGACAACCAGGGCTATATACATAGAAACCCTGTCTTTTTTAAAAAAGAAAAGAAAAGAAAAGAAAAGAAAGACCAAAATAAAATAAAGTTACCAGCTCTCGGCCTTAGCACCATCTTCCTTGAGACCCCTGTATCCTGGGAGTGAAGTGGAGGAGGATGCACAGGCTTAAGCACAAGAGAATGAAGACAAGATAGGGGCCCAAGTAAATGAGCTCGTGCTCCCATAGAGGCTGAAGGAGCAGAAATGAGGGACGCTGCCGGGCAGTGGTGGCACACGCCTTTAATCCCAGCACTCAGGAGTCAAAGGTAGCCAAACTTCTGTGAGTTCAAAGCCAGCATGGTCCTACAGAGTGAGTTCTAGGTCAGCTAGGGCTACACAGAGAAACCCTGTCTTGAAAAACCAAACCAAAACAGGATGGATGGATGGAAGGAAGGAAGGAAGGAAGGAAGGAAGGAAGGAAGGAAGGAAGGA